CAATAACTATAATGTTAAAGATATAGTTTTAAAAATCACTCCAGACTAAAGAAGAGTTCACACAACAACTATAATGATAACAGCATGGAGGAACAATATCACTGGAATCACTTTCAGATTTTTTTTTTCCAGCTGATGAACAATAAAAATATTGATAGCCAATCAGAATCCATCCTGCTTTAACTCACTTGACCATGTAAAAGGGCATACGACAAAACTGCAGCACAAGCTTATAATAAACAGACCTTTATCATGACTTAATATAATATAGTTATCGTTCTTGGTGACGGCCTTAACTCTTAAGCATGATGAATTCATAAGATATTAATCAACACAATATAATAAACTAAAATGTTATTTTGTTGACTAAAATTACGTCATTTCATTATAAATAAATTAATCAAGTAAAACTGATGTAAATATATTCATATTATGAAATACTGATTACATGTAATTACATGTTGAGGACAAACTAAAACAAACTTAACACTGTCTGGACACAGAGGAAGAAACAGTTAAAAGTCATGGCCTAGATCTTGTGCTAGAAACTGATGTAAGAGGATGGGAACTTTTCATCTCCTCATGCACCTTTGCTTCTCAGCTTAATGTGTGTGTGTTTTCTTGGTTCTGTTGCTGCTTGTCTGGGAGGATATGGGTAAGGAATACCCTGAATTCCTGTCGTGTCTCATTTTGAGGTTGAAACAGTCAGGCGAGTAGGTCTGTGCGTTACAAAACTCTGACAGCCTTGACTTTCTGACTCATTTCAGATTTATACAATGTGGCAAACAAAGCCTTAATGGACACTGAAGGAAGATATTTTAATACAATTATGTTTTGCCAGCATTTCTTTCCATATGACCTACTTGAAAGAAATGAACTTTTCAGTTTTACTTTTCATTACTTTTAATTTGGTCTAAAAAAAGAAATACAGCATGAATGTGGGAGGTAAGCTAATTGTAAAGCTTTATTTATGTTTATAAAGCTTTATTTGGTATTACAAATGACTAAGTCAACATAAAGTCCCAAATAACCCTATTTACTTTCTAAATGCACATTTTTGGACAGCATATGCAGAAAGATTCATTGTTGCACGTTATTAAAAAGAAAGAATTGACTGAAATTACTTTTCATTTTATGCTAACATCAGTAAGGAGGCTATTGAATAATGTTAACCAGTAGTCAAACAGGATTTGATGCATTATCTTAGCAAATTTGCATTTGGGTTGACTGTGTTCTGGTATAAAACATTCACTTTTCATGATGCAATTGATTCCCCCCTACATTGTTTCTTGCTGAATATCTTGTTTCAATTGAAAATATGTCACATTAAGGAAGTACAATGGGTTGTGACCGGCAATTCACACTGATTTTCAGTTCTCTGCATGAACAGCTTTTCAATAAATCAAAAATTTTCTCCATATTTGGAACCTTGGAAATATAACAAAGAACATATAAGATTGTGTTTACATGGCTGCTTTACATATATACACTATGTCCTCCATTCTCAATTATCATTCAATTTCACTTACTGAATATGGATAAACAACAAGTTAACCTTGCACTAATGGCTGTTGTTGCAAAGATATGTGGTGGTCACATGAGAACACCTCCCATCTGGTCATGGCCATCAGTGTTACTAACCTAATGTGTCATCTATAAATTATTAACCTCTCATTTTTCAGTACGGTTACACTTGGCCACTGAAAAGCATCCTCTGTCATTTTTATTGCCTTGCGTTTCACAGATGTCGAATACAATTTTATGGGAAGTACACAGCACTGAGCTTATTTGGTGCAAGTGTACATGCATTTGCAGTAAATTACTTTTAATTGAGCAGCTGACATAAAATGTGATCAGAAAGAAAATCAGAAACATGACGATGCAGAAACAAAGAAAGAATCATTCTTTTACGTGTCTCTAAATGGGGACTTCTAATTGCCTTATATTAGAATATTAATACTAATCACTCCATTCTAAACTTAACTTTTGGCATTTTTAGAGGTGAATTAAAACATCATTTAGTCTCCTAATTAACCATTTTTCCTTTTAAGGATGTCCCCAAAATTAGATTTTTTTTTCATCTTCAGATTTAGCAAAAACTTCTAGACATTTTTCAACAATTTCCCCTCAATAACATTGCTAGGTCAAACACACATACACACACACATACTTCCACCATCATTCTCAATCCTTTATAACCACTGCAGTGCACGTCCATGTAAAAGCTTTCATAATGCTTTCCCAATGAAAATCAATACAGCCCTGCAAAAGTGAGGTGAGCATTAGCAATCTCCCCTCATTTCTCTCTCTCTCTCTCTCCCTTTCTGTATCCCTCCATGTGTCTCCCACTGTCTCCTGGCCCCTCCATCACTGGTCTCCTCCATTAATTTATAATATCTATCTCTGGAGTCGGTCCTCACTAGCATACGCATGGCACCCATGAGCATGCAAGTGTGAGTGTCAAGTATATCGACTATCCATCTGACCTGTTGCCTGATCCCGAGCGTGTGTGTTGAGTTACACAGACTCACCTACTGCCCACCTGTCTGACCGTTAACCCTGCAAACCCGAGCAGCGTGTCTACAGGTGTGTGTTGGCACTCGCAACATTAACAAGCCTAGTATATTGATTGCCGCTCTGTCTATTCAAATGATAGGAACGTGGGCTGCCGTGGGGACAGAATGCAGCTGGTCGATAGGTGTTGGCATGAGTGGGCGGATGGGGGAGGGGCTATAGAAAAAGTGCGCTGCAGCAGAGAGGGAGTTTGGAGTTTCACTTAGGAACATGCCGAGTTGTGCATTTATAGAAGATAGGAGAGATGCGCGATAGAGAGAGAGAGACAGATATAGGTCAAAAGGATTTCCATTTTCTTCGGCATTCAATTCCGAGAGTGCTGTTTATGTATGCGTTCGCGCAGGGGCCTGTTTGCAAATTCAGACAGCAGTAGGGTATTGACTTGCCATCACGCTATACTGTCCCATCATGGAAGCCAAACGCACACATACACGCACCGTCTACACCAAGCTCGAGTTAGGCTAGGTCACAAAGCTCTGCGGTAGAGGAGTTAATTACAGTGTGATCAATAATTGATTAAACCGTCAGAATGAATCCAACAAACTCACCAATAAGCATTAACGCACTCTCACCCCAAACTCTTGACCGAGTATGAATGCACACGCAGAAGCACACAAATACACATCCGAATTCTCTATTAAGCATTTTCAGTGGTAAAAATGTCAGCAGATTAAGAGGATTGACTCGGTATTGGATTAAGCCACCCACTGTGGTCAGGATCACACCAGCGTGTATGGATTGATTAGGTCTTGCGAGGCACACATCTCCCTAACGACTGCATCAGCTGTTTTTAGGCGCTGGGTAAAGAGACTTACAATCTGACTGTCAGTCATGCTAAAAAGACCAAAAATGACACGTCATTTAGGACTCAATATCTCGCATGTAGACCTCTGCGGATTTGGTTTAAGCTCCCAACACCTGTCAGAAAATGTAATGCGATCCCAGTGTTCAATTTAACCATGTCTCTCTATAGTATGAGGCCACCCTTTGGTTCAGGCTTAGTCCAAAGAACCTGTCAAAGGGTGCCCAGGTAATCTTTTTTTAATGCTTCTGTTAAGTGCTAAGCTAGCAGTTTGGATATGCTGCATTAAATCTATGACTTGGATAAAAGTGTAAAGATGACAGATTAAGTCAAAAAAGACAACTCTGCAAGCCTGCGTGGTTTCTCTCTCAAGCGTTTCATGCATATACTGTCAAACACACTGGCCAGTTCCACTCAAAGCAGGTAGACATATATTCCGCTCTATATTTAACACTTCCAAACATCTCAGAAAATGAAAGAACAAGGAAAGGAGTGGAAAGAATGTCAAAGACAGGAAAATAAGGGGAGTATGATGGAGAGAATGATAGAAAGCAAGAGAGAAAGAGAGAGACTGAGCAAGTGGAAAGAGATCTATGGTGGTGTGAGAGAAAATGGGTTACATTTCTCCTCTCTTAGACAGTCTATTTTCAGTAGCTACTCCTGGAAAGGAGAGCAGGCAGTTAGCACCATGTAACCTTAACCACTCCACACGCAGTAACACAACAACAGTACAGGCTGACTGCAGTAGTTGTCACATTTGTGCTTTTCTACAACTAGTTTTGCTTTTTCTTTAGTTCTTGATGGGATGAGATTTCACTAAGAACAGATCAGCTTGAATTCACCTCGGAACTACAAAATAACCCAAAAGCTTTTGACAAGATATGGGCAAAATATTGCCCCTAACTTCATAAAATGATGTTATATATCCAGAGAAGCCTGTTTCCACCTCTAAAATGTAATTGTGACTGTACATCACACAATTATTACTTCTCGTTATTTAAATCTCCCTATCGTGCAATTATATCTCACAATGTGGCTTTATATCTCATAGTTGTGATTTTTTAATATCACTTTTGCAAATTTATATGTTAGAAATGTGACTATATTTCACAGTGTGACTTTGGCAGAATGCCTGTACAATCTGACTATATTTCACGGTTGTTACTTTATACGCCACAGTTGTGATTTTTGTCTCACAGTGTGATTATGTCTCACAGGTTGACTTTATTTATTTTAAACATTATACTAGACTAATTTTTTTTTCTCTGAGGTGGAAACTGGCTTCCATTTATACCAGATAGTTTCTTAGAAAACCTAATTACAGTGTACTCAAAGAAACAAAGAAAATGTGTGGGTTAATCCAATGGCTATCAGCGTTTTTCTATATTAGTACAGGAATATCCCACAGGACTGAATGAATTTAGGTTAGTTTTGGAATCCAAATCTAGTTCAAGCTTGAAGCTTTTGTCCTGACAAGCCTTGTAACATTTTGGGTAAATGTTACTCCTTGCTGGCCAAAATGATCCAGAACTAGTACAATTCTAAGACACTTGATGAACATGGCCTGCTTGTACTTGTTGAATGTGCAGTGGTGAAACTGAGTCATAGATCTTTATGTTCTTACCTGTTTGCTGTACTTGACAGTTTGGCAGCCGTAATCGGAGCACTGGTCTGAGCTGAGTGACATGGCGTCTGCATTACCGGTGCCGTTGCCAGTGAAGGTGTTAGTGGGGGGCAGTTCCTGCACAGCTTGGTGCTTCTTGCCTTCCACGGGTGGTGAGTTGGGCTGAAGATGCACTGCAGGCAAAGGTGAGCTGGACTTGTAGTGGCGTGCCAGATCTGGACTTGATTGGTGACGTCTTGAGCCTAGTCTTGGACTGCTTAGGTCTCCGTTAGCTGCTGCACAATAACGTGCTGCAATCCTCTCGCTGGCACTGCTAACATCTTCATCCTCCTCTTCTTCATCACCTCCCCCATGTCTGCAGCCATTCACCGTCATAATTCCACTGTATAAAGAACGCTCAGATTTGGCAGTACCGTTATTACGCTTGTCTCTGTGGGGTTTACGCCCACGTTCATTTTGGGAGCCCTGGGCTAGCAGAGGGGGAGGTTGTGGACTGAAAAAGTCCTCTTCTGGCTCCTTCTTCCCAGCCTCATAGCCATTCTTACCCTGTGCCCCACACTGTCGTGCTGTCACAACCAGAAGGATCACCAGAATAACGGCAGCAGCACCAGCCAGGACACCGATGGCAACGCTCAAGCGTTGTTTACCCAAAGCTCTCTCGCTGTCTGGGTCACCTGCAATATCCATATAGAGGGGGACTGCAAGGCTGCGGGCCACCTGAGTGAGAGGGAGAGAGACATACAGAGAGAGAGAGAGAGCAAAAATGGAAAGTCATAAATGGTGTGTCTGCCCTTTGATAATTGCATCCTCATTTCACAGCTCTGTCTGCTGAACCACACACACGCACACATACACATTCATCCCCACTGCAAGGCCCAGACTTCTCAATTATCATGTCAAGGCTTGGATATTCAATCATAGTTATTCTGCGCAGGCAAGTGTGACTGTGTATGTGTACGCGAGTGTGTATCTTTCATCTTTGAATCTGTATGTGTTTCTTTCTATCCAATATCCAATGTGGGTCAACAGCAATTTGATGCATGAATACTTATAAACAGCAATATTTAAAAAAAAGTGCTATTTCGTGCTAGGATTTCCTAGTTGTGAAAAGTTATGACTTCACTTCTCTGCTCCATCCTCTCATGTCAAATAAAATTACTCTATTCAGTTTCAACCCTTGTCACTTTAATTGTTTCTATTTGGTTATGTTCTACACTGTCTCATTGTTCAACAGCACAAACTGTTATTCTTTCTCTATATTGAATTACCCTTTGTTTGTGTTTATTTGAACAGCAGTGCTGCACTGATGTGTCTCACCTGTGCATCCACCAGCGTTGCATTGGCCAAGCTCTCGTTGATGAAGACATGCACCAGTGCCGTGGCACAAAGGGAAGGCACGCCACTGTCATTGACCCGGACCACCAAGCGGTGCAGACCCCTGTGTCTTCTCTCCAGGGGCTCTGCCAAGGTTATGACCCCACTACTTGAGCCAATCTCAAACAGAAGAAAAGGGTTTCCGCCTACCAGAGCGTAGCGGAGATCGGCATTAGACCCTGTGTCGCCATCGGAGGCTGAGACTGTGCGGACTACGGTCCGAGCTCCGCTAGCGGGTGGCAGAAGGGTGTATGATTCATTAGCGGGTGATGTGATGGATGGCACGTTGTCATTTTCATCAGTGACAAACAGGGAGATGGTGGCGGTGGCAGACCGTGGCGGTTCTCCACCATCAACAGCACGCACGCGAAATGAGTATGTACTACGTCGTTCACGGTCAAAGGATGCAGAGGAGAAAATGGTTCCAGTGTTATTTTCAATGGAGAAAACGTCTTGCTTCCCCTCTTTGCCCTCCTCTCCACCCTCCTCTTCATCGTGCTCAACAAAAAGACTCAACTCTGCATTCTCGCCTTCATCTGCATCGGTAACAGTCACCATGCCGACGGGGCTATTGGTGAGCAGGTTCTCTTTGACGTAGAATGTGAAGACTTCCTGGACAAATTTGGGGGCATTGTCGTTCCTGTCTGTGACCTGAACTATGACAGTAGCAGAGCCTTGCAGAGACGGGGTGCCCTTATCTCGAGCTATCACACGAAATTCATAGCGTTCCCTCTGCTCTCTATCTAGTGCCCCAGTGGCACGAATATCACCATGATCAGCATCAATGTAAAAAGCTCCATTAACAGATGGGTCCAGTGAGTATGCGATCTCTGCATTCTTACCACTGTCTGCATCAGAAGCCACTACTGTGACCACTCGTTCTCCTGGGGCATTATTCTCTGCAAAATGCACTTCCACTAAGCTCTGGGCAAAAGTGGGAGCATGGTCATTGATGTCCACCACACGTACCAGAAGGGAACTGTTACTAGAGAGGCTTGGGCTACCGGAGTCCACTGCCACGATAGTGACACTATACTCACGAGTAGCTTCGTAATCCAAAAGTGCTGAGGTGTGGAGAAAATATTTCTTTTTGTTTCGTTCAAATGCATCATCCGTGGCTGGTGGAGGTGCTAGGGCTGTCTCACCCGCCGGTTTCAACGTAAATGGCACATCCCCAACCACAGTGCAGGTAACCGCACCATTCTCTCCCTGGTCGCGGTCTGACACCTGCACTAATGCTACTGGAGTGTCCACCAACACGTTCTCTGGAACCATTGCAGCGCCATCTCGAACAAGGATTCGTCCAATTTTTCGAATTTCCACAATGGGTACATTGTCATTTTCATCCCTTACATTGAGAACGACTGTAGTGCGGTCAGTGCGAGGTGGTTGGCCGCGGTCACGAGCTGTGATGGTGAAGCGTAGCTGCGAAACTTCCTCGCGGTCTATGCGATGCAGAACGCTCAGCCAACCTGATGCTTCATCCAACCTCAGAAGGCGCCTCACTGATTCCGTCGCTGCTCCAAACACATACTCAATCTGCCCGTTCACGCCGACATCACGGTCTGCGGCACGCACCTGTAGGACAGGTGTGCCAGGTGGGGTGTTTTCTGGCATTTCTGCTTCATACACGGCTCTCTCAAAGCGTGGACTGTTGTCGTTGACGTCTGTGATGGACACTCGTAACAGAGCTTGTGAGGAGCGGGGAGGGTTGCCGCCATCACGAACCCGTAGCACGAGTTCATAAGAATCCCGTGCTTCGCGGTCCAGAGGCCCTTTCACGATCAGCTGGGGCTGTTTCTGTCCTTCAGGTGTGTCGGCAACTTGAAGTTCAAACACGCTGCTCCTGCTGGCAGGTCCTGCCCCTGTTTCTGACACTCTCCTTCGGTCACCACCGTTCCCATTGGTCGGTCCGTTCGCAGGCCGTCGCAAAGATGATCCCCCATCTCTACTGTCCTGGATAAGCTCATAGCGATCAATGCCATTACGACCAAAATCACGGTCTGTGGCTGTGGGAAGGAGATAGAGTGTGCCGATTGGCCGATTCTCCTCAACAGACAGCGTGAGTACTGGTGAAGGAAAAGAGGGGGTGTTGTCATTGATGTCTGTGACTACAATACGGCCATCAAACAGATCCACCCAACTCTGTAGGGGACCTATGACTGACACCTCAAAGTTCAAAAAGCACTCGTTTTCATCAAATATCATCTGACACTGCGGCAGCTTCTCTCTGTCAATCCTCTTGCTGCCTGTAGTAAGCTCTCCAGTGACGTTGTCAATTTTGAAGTATTCTGAGCCAGATTCCAAAGCGAAAGTGACATCACCTGTCCCGATCCCAGAGGTGGACAGCCCCAGGTCTGAAGCCACGTTCCCAATATGCACATCGGCCGGCCCCTCTTCTGCCACGCGGTAGCGCAGCACTGAATTGGCGCGCGGGAGCTGAGTCAGCAGCTGCAGGATAAGCACGAGGTAGCAGCGCGCAGAGTGCACTGCGCCAATGCTCCTGCTCCCCATGACTCTCTCTCTCTTCCTCTCTCTCTCTTTCACTCTCTATCTGCAGCTTCCTCTGGTCCAAGGCAGACTCGCCACCAATTAATCTCTATAAACGCTTCCTTTGGCAAAATCTTATTTTCTCCTGCAGTCTTTTAGTTCCCCGGTCACGTTTTCAACACGATAAAATAAAACATCCACTTTGTGAAGAGCTCGGCATCGGCGATAAGTCTTTACAGCTCTTTTACCGACAAGAATGTTCCTTTGTGCCCTTTAAGAGTAAACGGGAGTCAAATTTGAGCAGTTTAAATGACTTTGTCCGGCTCATTGAGATGCTGCGGAGCGCGGGCTCCTCTCGCGCTTTCACTGTTTTAAACTGCAATGCAGTAGAACACAAAAGAGATCTGTCTGTGAATTCAGCTCTCACATTCGCATCCCAGAGCTTGCGCTACTGGCTGGGAATAAGCCAAAGTGCTTTCTAAAGTCTTTTCCCGATATTATATGTTCTCTTACCTTAAACCACAGCGAGAGGAAAATTGGAAAGCTTTTCCCGCAGTCTTACGCGCGCGTGCCAAGCCCTTATAGATTCCTTTACGGCGAACTTGACAAAGAGAAAAGCTTTTCAGTTCGACTTCTCAGAGCACGTAAATTAGCCACTTATGGAAAGATGGTGAGCAGGATAGAGAACTAGCAACAAAAGCCTTTAGTAATTCCTCCGGAGTCCGTAGTGGATGTGTGTGAAGTGTTTGAGGAAAAGTCCCGCATTCTCCTCCTCCCCTCACCTGCACGTTCTACTGCACTGCATGTGAACGTCCCTCAAATGATGCTGCAGTCTCTCTCCCTCTTTCTCTCTCTCTCAACGTCTCTCTCTCTCTTCCCCCTCCGTTCACTGCAACACTTCCCTCGCTACGTAACTCGACCGTTCAGATGAAACGGGAGAATGTGAGTGTCTCGAAGGAGCTCGCGCTTCTCTTTTAACCAGTCTAAAAGCGCAAATACAGGGGCTTGCATACGACCACAAAACAAAATACCTCAGAAGCGAAAAATACATTGATACAACTAGACAAGTCCAATGAAGCACTTGTGTAAACACAGAACAACTAATTAAAACAAAATTCACAACAATGTCCTAATATATGAACCGACATTTAAAATTAACCATATCGTTTGAGTCAGTTTCTTTGACGAATGTGCATCAACACAGCAAAAGCAGTACTTGTTGACAGTGAAATGCATTTTTTGTTGTACTAAAAAATAAAAAAGTGTAAAAAAGGGTTGTAATAAAATACAGACCTATAAACCTCTATAAAACACAGCATTTAAAGTGGTGTGCGCGTGTGCATAGGCCATACACAAAAAGAAATGAAGCAACCATGACAACAATTTAAATTTGAATTGTATACAAGTGAGTGGTCTTGCAGTTGAGGTAGTGGTTATGTGTTTAACAGTTTTATCGTCTGTGAATAACTGAATAATTGGGGTCATTGGTGTATTTTACAATGGACTTGCCATTTCTAAGACACCTCATTATGGCCCTCACAAAAACGTATAAAGAAATGTCTTGAATGTGTTCAGGTGTGTTCAAGTTACTTTGTTCATTAAATACTATGATCAAGTTGAACACAGTGATACTGAAAAAGGTCGCAGGTTAGTGGTCGAGGTCAAGGTCATTGGCCACAAAAAGTTCTTAAATAGCCTACAAGATTAATCAGTGAAACAGAAATTTAAAAGTGCAAAGACATCTGATACTATATTATACAGATAGATAGATAGATAGATAGATAGATAGAGTAGGCTATAATCTATATAGACGTTTTCCTTTGCCAAAGGTTAGCTAGGATAGATTTTTACTGCTTTTGTTGCTGTCTCTGAATCACGAAGAAGTACTCTCATTGTCTGAATGCGGCAGTGCTTTTCGCTCATCCTGTGAACAATGAGCATGTATAGCACACACACTCTCTCGGTCCCAGCACGGGCTGCCCCGTAGCCACGCGGATGCGCGAGCGCAATGCAGCACTGACTGAACGTAATACTACGGTCACACAACAAAAGGAGCAGCCCTTCTCCGTCTACACTCTCCATCCCGTGTTCTCAGTCACATACATGCGTGATGCGTTTAATTCGTGGGATGGAATGATTTAAAACTAACGTAGGAGGGTTTTCCTGTTCGATCTCAGCCCGTTTAGTAATAGCAGAGGAGGTTGCGAGCGGAGGAGCGACGCGGCTGCCCTGCTGCTGCTGCACCGGTGCTGGTTAACATTCCACCGGCGTCACCGCACGTGCGTGCTGTATGCTCTGCGTCTCGCGCCCTCAGTTGTTCCATCGCGCGCGTTTTGATTTCACTTCTGCAATCAATCGCCCAGTCGAAGTCGGTGGGAGAGTGGATTCAGCGTTCGTGTCCCGTGAGCACCCTCTTTAGCTCATCACGTTAATGCGCAAGTCCAGTTAGCATACAGTCCACCGGTGAAACTTTATCATCTGCAGAACAGACTCGAATAGCAAACACCCGTGGCTACGAGATAGAATATGTGCATATATCGCCTCTCCTCTAAAGCATGTGAGAAAAGACAGCATCAAAATAAGTCTTCAAAATATACAGCGATAATTTATATTTTTCTGTATCTTACCTTATCATCTGCATGAGAAGCTGCGAGTGTAAATAACATGTAGCCTACATTCTTTATCTTCCTCATCCAAAGAGTAGTCAAAAGCATCACTCAAAAAGCAAGATACAGAAGACACAGTAGATAGATAGATAGATAGATAGATATGTGTGTAGACAGAAAGAGAAAGACACAGACAGATAAATGATAGATAGATAGATAGATAGATAGATAGATAGCACTTTATTGTCAGACGAGTCTGAAATGTTTCTTGCATGACAGTATCTATGTTTACAACAATCAACATCCTTTAAACAACATGCACTTCATCCACACAAGAACAAAACACATTAGACATTACACTCCCTTAAACATTACATTATACCTTACCCTCCTACTACACTTATACAAAGTTAAGTAAAGATAGATAGATAGGTAAATGGGTAGATAGAATATACAGTATAGATAGATACGTGTGTAGATATAGTAGACAAACGATAGATAGATAGATAGATAGATAGATAGATAGATAGCCCACGTATGCAGTCATTGGGGGAAGTTAGTGATTCATTTCAGAGTTAAAAAGCTCTAGTAGCATATGTAATTTGCATTATTACTCCACTAATGCTGTGGCCATCAAAAAGGCGTTCTCTCAGGTGCATGACTCAAACTCCCACCACTGTGCAATCTTGCGTCTTCTAACTGATGCGTGGAGTGAGGACATGAATTTTAAACATGCAAAATGAGCTGGGGGAATTGCCTATGTATTGGGAGAACCAATTAGTTCACTGTGCTTTTGTACTTTGTTTTTATGACGATATGTTTGTTTTCAGCATTGTAAAAAAGCACGTTTGCATGGATTTTCATTATATTTTTCAGTGTTGCATTTTTTTTAACCTCCTCGCAGGAGTTTCCTTAAAGCCAAGTAATTGAGGACATGTGAAGACGCTGTGTGCTTCGTTGTGAAAGCGAAACTACTTTGTTTGGTCTTCTAAAAGAGGACGATATCCGCTTCGTCATGCCTAGAGCTGATCTGTGCTGGTCGCTGAGGGAATACATCAACTTTCACCGTGGACGAAGCGGAATCCAGCCCGGGGTCCATCACATGTGGTTGCCGCTCATTCGTTGGATCCGCCTAAGCCGGGGCTTCCGCTCACTCTATCCCGGCCTCAGCTATAGAGGAGAAACAATAATGTACAGTATGTGGAAAATAATGTGTTTTTTTTTTACTTTAAAACGCATAAACACATTTCATTACACCAAATACACAAAATAATGTTCTTTTTAGCAGCATCATATGACCCCTTTAACTTTCTCACTTCAAGAGTTAACATAGTTAATACATTTCAAAAGTAAAGCAACAGAAGAGACAATGTACTCACTTATGTGCAATGTAAATGCAGAGTGAACTGAGAAACCCTGTTGGAGAAGAATCACAGAACATATAGGAATGATCTCTGATGAAACCCTTGTGTGAAAGCCTAATACTGAGAAATAAAAGTAAAAAATATTGAGGCCTAAAATGCTCTATAACCACCTTTAACATAAAGAAACATGAGAAAAATTGACCAGTGGTTTTTAGAGTGCAGAAGAAAGAAGGGGGGCTTATAAAAATACAGAAAAGAATTGAAAAGTGCAATTACATTAAGTTACGGGGGAAATAAAACAGTGTTTGAGTCCTCTAAGCTGCAATGAATAACCTTAAGACTAGTCCAGTCCCAGCGCAATCAACTCATTTCACTAACTAAGATATTTCTCTTTAAAGTAGTGGCGTCGAGTCTCGTACTGGCAGGGATTGTAGGTGGGGGGAGTGAATGTACAGTGCTCTGAAATGTGCATTTGGACACTAAAGTCAATATATGAGAAGAAATAAAATTCAAATAAATTTTGCAGTGAAAAGTGCTTTGACTAAAATTTTTGTTTAACAAAACTAGGTATGCATGCTATTTAAATAAAAAGGCTCAGAGTCAGCAACATTATAATATACAGCACTGAAGGTTCCTGACAGCACCTCATATGCACTCTTAACATTAAAAAACTATTTACCAATCTAAATCTTAGCTAATCTAAGCTAAAATTGATATTTTACTGATTTTCTTTTGGACAGGCACTGTCCACCTATAGCCATGGACCTTATTTTACCACAGACAATAATTTTGAATCACCTTTCAGTGTGTATAAACGAATGAGAGAGAGCACCTACAATAAAAGCCCAGCAGACAAGCATGCAGCACTACAAAGAAACATTTAAAACACGCAAATATAACACTCTTTTGAAAATACAGTATAATCATAACACTTTATATGCGTTAGCGTGAGACATAATCCCTTATAAACCCTGTGGTAGAATCGCTTATAAACCCTGCCTGTGCAAAGATCACACGGAGAAAAAAAAGTCCTTCCGCTCATACATGTATCATGACCAACTCATAAAATAAACCTGTGTATTTTAGCTTGGTAACTGTGCGAGGACATCAGGAACTGCACTGCTTATATGGACCATGGTTTTTCACCCATAGAAATTACAGCAGTACAGTGCAAGTTCCTTTACCTAGAAAAGTACTTTTTTGTACTGAAGAATTCAAGTTATTTATCAAGAATACAAGCTTCATATTTCTAAACCATCTGGGCCACTTGTCTGCTAGGCCTCCACTGCAATTGTTTTACTGTAAATGTGTTCCATTTTGTCTTTTGTGGATCATGAATTTCAGTCTTTGTTGCAGAAAGTACGGCTTCAGAAGATTTTAAATATAACACACAAGCTGTATTAACTACTTGTATGATACTTTTATGAGCCTTTCATATCTACTACATCTTTTTTTATTAACCCTTGAATTATCAACTCAATTATCTCATCAGTTGAAGGTTCAAGACAAAAGTTAATTGGTAAAGGTCAAACTGATTTACTACAGTTTGTTTATGAAGAATAGCAATGAAGTGTGCAAGAAAATATGACTAGTTTAGTCGACGTATGAGACAACAGTCTATAAAAGAAAGACATTAAAGGGATAGTTCACCCAAAAATGAAAAACCTGTCATAATTTACTGTACTCACTCTTATGTTGTTCCAAACCTGCATGACATACTTTCTTTTTACAGTGGAACACGAAAGGAGATGTCTTTAATAATTTTGGGGACTGACAGCCTCAGTCACCATTCTTTTTGATTATGTCTGTTTTCCATACAATGAAAGTAAATGGAGACTGAGGCTGTCATTCTGCCTGACATCTCCTGCATTGTACAGACAGAGGAAATAAACTCATATGGTTTTGGAACAATGTGAAGCTGAGTAAGTGATGATAG